TAAACCCCTCCCCTGCCGTGATTGGAAGTCATGGTCAGATGGACGGCTTCACAGACACATTATTTGGAAACAGGGAAGCAAATGCCAGAATAAATAGTCGAATGGGTGGAAAGATGTTGTTTCTGGGAGAAGGGTGTCAGCATTAGTTGAGGAGCCTCGGGGGAGATAGGGCAAGATAAATTTGATAAAAATATTTTAAAATTATTTCCCCCTCACTGTTTATTCATTAATTTTTAATATGTTTTTATTGATTTCAGAGAAGGAGGGGGAGAAAGAGATAGAAACATAAATGATGGGAGATAATTATTGATCTGTGCCTCCTGCACATCCCCCACTGGGGATTGTGCCTGCAACCCAGGTACATGCCCTTGACCGGAATCGAACCTGGGACCTTTCAGTCCGCAGGCCGACGCTCTATCCACTGAGCCAAACCGGTTTTGGCAATGAAATGTATTTTAATAAACACCACCTTTATAATTATTCAAAGTGTATGTATACATTTTGGGGAGACACCCTGTAGTTGAGATTTCAATGAACGTTTTCTAATGACTTGATGTATATTATCTAGAGCCTTGCTAGAGAAAACTTACATAATGATAATTACCCTAAGTACACAATGTCTCAAATATGTACTGGGGAAACAGAAATGGCATTCTATGGGAAACTGACAACAAGTACCTAATAACGCCTGGCTTGAATCTTCCAAACCTTTCTTCGACTTCGTCCGCATGGTACCGCTGTTGGAAGTTCTGATTGTTTGCTTCACCACAGGCATCCAAGTACTCTTTTCTCTTTTCGCTTATTCGAGCAGCATTCCGAGGCTGAATCGTAATGTATTTGAAAAGAATGGTATCAAGCACTTTAGAAATATTTCAGAAATTAAATAAATCTATGCCCTTTGCTTAGGTCAAGCAGATTATTTTAGTTTTTAATGTATAAGGAACAAGTATAAAAGAGGCTGGATATTTTAGAAAAATAAGCCAGAAAGAGAAGCAGTCACTTTAATGTTTTATTACCTCAGTATTACCATAACATAAAATCAAGTTTTAAAAATATATTGTCTAAAAATTAACTGATAATCTTCCATTCATTTCAAATACAGAGCACTGTAATCAAGTTTTAAAACAATCTAATGCCTTAGAATTTAAGTAAATTTTTCAAAATCCAAGACTACAGGAAATTAACAGAGGAAGTTTCTTCATATCACACAATGCCATAAATATGTTGAAAACACTAGAAAGCTCTGGTTCAAAGATATTTTTTTCCATGGGAAAAAACTTTACCATTGAGCAATCTTTCATTTGATGTTCTTCGGAACCACAGTTGAAACAGTGAGGCCTTGGCCTATTTGGTCAAAAAACAAAGATTTTCACAATGTAAGTGAAACTATAAAAGCAAATCGATAAAATCTTAGATGACAGCAAAGTGTACCAGAACTTAGGAAGTGCACTGATCACAGATTACTAAAATCTGCAATGGGTACACTTTCAGCTCCCATACTTGGTGATTTAAACAACAGCACTTTTAACCAAGAACTGGATGCTCCTGATTGATCTGTTACCTCTGAGTTTTGCCAGTGGTTCGTACCAAAAGCACCGAGGCAAACAGATCCTATTCCTTTAGGCCACATGGAAAGGGGCAGATGGTTTTAAGGCAGCAATCACAGTGACAGCAACAATTCAAGCCTTTCCACCCACCCAGACACACTAGGCATGAACCAATGAATTCCAATCAATACCAATTTAAACATTTAATACAGGTCTCTATATTAAAATTATAGCTTAATCTGTAATTTATTTACAGTAAGCCAGCAATAAAGAATATTAACTTTCCAAGCTAAAGGAGTTTATGATTTGTGTTTGTTTTTTTTAAAGCAGAAAACAAAATAAAAACAACTCCCCACACAAACCTTTTGGCCTTTACTTGTATTTCTTGCCCTTCTAGAGAAACAATGTGGCTGAAGACTTGCTGGTACCTTTAGTAAATTTTATTAAGGAATGGTTATCATTGTCTGCAAAATTTGGTAAAACTTTTAAAAGGTGAACTTAATGGCAAGATGAATAAAAGATCTTCATTCACTATGTAGGATACTTGGGTATTTCCCATCCTTCGGTAAGCTGAGGGTTTTCATTTAGTAGCGGTTGCCCCAATTTATCAAGGCAAAAATTAGTAAAATACAGGACACTTCCTACAACCTGCAGAAAACAAGTCAAAAAATATTGCTATTGAAGCAGGAAAAAGAAGACATTGAGTAATGTAAGACTATGATTAATTGTTTTAACGATTTATTTTGGATGAAGTTATTAGAAATAATCAACTCCCTCGTTAAAGGAGCCAGATTTGGATGTGTAAGTAAAAGCTACATGTTTATATTTCCCTATGCCTCCACGATTATTGAGCATTTTCTCTTTGAATCATTACTATCAGCTGTACCCTCTCCAGACTTAAAAAATAAAAACTTGCCCACAACTCTCACTTTTCCTTCCAATTCCCCATTTCTCTGTTTCCCTTACAACAAGACCCTCAGAAAAGTTGTCTGTATATTGATTCCATTTCCTTACCTCCCAGTCTTTTCTTTTCCCTCCATTTTTTTTGAAAAAGCTCATATAGAAAAGTTGAAGAAATGGTATAATGAACACTCATGTACCCTCCATCTAGATTTAACAATTGTTGACATTTTGGTACGCACATCTGTTTTCTCTCTCATACACATACTTTTTTTTTTTTTCAGATTTACTTTTTACTGAGCCGTGTAAACAATGTAAGTCACCACCACTATCATCACAGTATAAGCCATTATTTTATCTGCCCTGAGATGAGTACAATAACTTCCTAGTTTCCAGTTTCCGATTTTTATACTTCACCCCTATGTAATTCAGTATGGGCCTTCTAAGAATAAGAACATTCTCTTATAAACCATCTCTCTACATTCTGTACGGCCAGCCCTTAGTCCCGCTCTATGTGATTCCAGACCCGTGTGATGAAATATAATTTAAATGCTGGTAACCCCCAATGTTGTCTGACTGCTCCTAGACTCCAACCTTGTATACGCCAATGCCAATTTGACAGCCCTCACTGGACATGTAAGAGGCGTCTCAAACTCACCTAATTAAAACCGCACTAGAGCCCTATCCTCTCTATACCTGCTCTTCCCTCCAGCCTTGCCCATCACAGAAAAGGCAGCAACGTTCTTCCAGTTGCTGAGGACAAAAGCTGGAGTCATTACGACTACCCTCATTCTCATATTCTACATCCAGTTCATCAAAATATTCGATCAGTTCTACTTTCAAAGCATCTCCAGGTTAAAAGCACTTCTTATCGCCATCATCATCATCTTGGTCTAAGCTATTTCATCTCACCTGCGATAAGTGCATTAACTTCCTAACTGGTTTCCAGCTTTCATATGCAACCAGCTACAGACTTTTCCACAGAGAGCCAGTTCTTTTATAAATTCAAGTTATATCACATCTCATTTCTACTTAAAATCCTCCAATGGCTTCTCATCTCACTCAGAGTAAAATCTGAAGTCCTCACTGTGGCCTGGAAGGCAATGTAAGGATCTAGATCAGTGGTTCCCAACCTTCCTAATGCCGCAACCCTTTAATACAGTTCCTCATGTTGGGGTGACCCCCAACCATAAAATTATTTTCATTGCTACTTCATAACTGTAATTTTGCTACTGTTATGAATTGTAATGTAAATATCTGATATGCAGGATGTATTTAGGCGACCCCTGTGAAAGGGTTGTTCGACCCACAGGTTGAGAACCACTGATCTAGATCCTCTGCTGTGCAGTCAGAAGCATGGATGAAAAGCCTGACTTCACCCCTTTCTAGCTAAGGGGCTACTGGCAAGTTACTTAGCTCCCATATCTGTTTCCTCATCTGTAAAATGAAAAGAACGACAGTATCCTTAGGAGGAACATCTGCAAGGAGCTTACAATAGACAGTACTGGCTATGTATAGTGGGCAATGTATGCATGCTTCTGCCCCGGGGCTCTCCTCTTCCTTCTACTGCCTGGAACTCTCCTCTCTCAAACTGCAGTGAGGCTCACTCCCTCCAATTACTCACATCTTGGTTTAGAGAGGCTGTCACCAAGTACTCACTATATACACCAAATATCCCTCAGGTACTAACTCCTTAACCTGCTTTATTTTCCTTCAGAGCACTGCCTTTCCCACTATAATGTAATTCAAGGAGGGCAAGGACTTTGCCTTTCTTAAAATTTTATTACTATGTCCCTGAAACCTACAACAGTCCATAGTACAAAGGAGCATTTAGTAAATATTTATTAGTACTCATTAAAGAACAATATTAGCCCAGCCAGCATGGCTCAGTGGTTGAGCCTCTCTAAACCAAGACGTGAGTAATTTGAGGAAGTGAGCCTCACTGCAGTTTGAGAGAGGAGAGTTCCAGGCAGTAGGTCATGGTTCAATTCCCAGTCAGGGCACATACCTAGATTGTGGGCTAGATGCCCAGTAGGGGGCGTGAAAGAGGCAGATGATCAATGATTCTCATCACTGATGTTTCTATCTCTCTCTCCCTCTCTCTGAAATCAATAAAAATATATTCAAAATAAAATAAAGAATCAAATTAACTAATGTGTACAATTCCCACTTTCCAGGCAGGTGCCACTAAATCCCAGAATCTCAGTTTAGAAGAGAAATGAAAAGTGATCTGGTTCAAATTCAGAAATCTTTCTTTAAAGTGCCCGATAGCATCTCAGTCTTTGACTCCAGTACCATGGAATTTGCTTTTTTTAAAAAATGAGACAAACCACTTTGTTTTTTACAGGCTTGAAATTCCTACGTACTAAACGTTGAGTTGGAATGTGCCTTTGTTCTCAATCCAATCACTGGCCTAGTTCTGCCACTTGGCACTGCATAGGATGACCCAAAAATGACACCTTTGCAAATAACAGCCTTCATTGCATTTGTAGAGATGTGACCTCCCTTGTAAATTTTTTCAATGAGATGTGTGGGCTCTTCATCACCCCAGCAGCCCCATGTTTTTAAAGCTGTGGTTGATCAATGGGTCACAGTACTTCATAAACAGGAAAACTAGTCTTCCTCTCATAGAACCCAGGATTACATCATCATCTTAAAAAAATTGTAGTTGCAAAAAATCACACCAGTGCATCGCATTGACATTGCTCAACTCCGCACAGGTACTGAAAAGGCCTAAACATGGGTTCGTCCCTGTTAAGCTTCTTCTATTTAAAATGTTTTCAATTTCATATCTGCCATCTGTGATATTAACTATGTACCCTTCTCAGCTTCAACCATTTGTAAATTCAACAGCATGTTTCCTATACCTTCCTCCAAGTTCTTGAAAATAAACGCAGAGAGGTCGGTCAGGATGAATCAAGTCCTCCAGGCAATGTTGACTGTGCTTCCAGGTCACAATAAAATAGTCATTAAAAAGCAAACTATAGTATTTAAAAGTTGAAGTCCACAGGGTTGTTTGTAACAAATGTAATGAAAGAATGTGTGACCATCTGATGACATGTGACTATCCACATTATCATTTAAATGCTGCCCAACTGACACAGGATAGGAAACATGTACCTGCAGAATTCCAAAGCTAAAATGTCCAAACTTACACTAAAAGCTTCCTTGTTGTTTTCAATGGTACAGGATTCTTCTACTTTATGGTCCTCTTCTAGCATAACACTGGATGGCTGACACAAAGAAAAACACACATTACAAACCAAGTTTCAACTTTAAAACTCAAATATTAGCAATTTGGACACACCCACTTTATTTTCTAATACATACACAATGGTATCATTATGGTATATAAAAGTTTGAATTCACTTGGTCATAACTAAGGTGAGTTAAGTTAAGCTAGGTAGGAATGCTTATGAAAGAAATTTCACAAGTAGGAAAATTAAAAAAGATATACAAACTGTCTTCTGAAGCATTAGCATATACTATGACTTTCGTGTTAATAAATTTATGGAACTTTCAACATTTGAACTGATAAGGCAGACTTTCGTTTCTCTTGAAATCAGATAACCAGAAAGATTAAAATATGTAAATTTATATTACTAGTCAATTCTACTATCATCTTCACTGACCTCAAGCCACCAAAATATTCTCAAGTGCACCTTGAATCAAAACGTTAATATAATTTAGTGTTTTCTTACTGTTAACTGTATTTCCCATTTCTTGAATCTTCAAAAATTGTATATGGCCCGCCTGGTGTGGTTTGGTGGTTGAGTGAACCAGGAGGTCACAGTTTAATTTCCGGTCAGGGCACATCCCTGAGTTGTGGGCTTGGTCCCCAGTATCGGGGGTGAAGGAGGCAGCTGATCAATGATTCTCTTATCATTGATGTTTCTATCTCGCTCTCCCTCTCCCTTCTTCTCTGAAATCAATAAAAATATTTATTTAAAAAATTGTATATAGGTGAAAACTAAAGGTGATTTTAAATTTAATTAATCAGAATACTGTTCTCTAACTTCAGATAGACAGCTCAAGATCCTTATCTGAGAGTCTCACCTTAATTTCTAATTTTAAAAAGGCCCCACAAACATAATTCTGATCTTTTAAACATAAATTCATGCTCTAATATTCATGGAGTAAAATATCTCCAATTTATTTGGGCATGCTATTTATTTAACGTGTGTGTGTGTGTGTGTGTGTGTGTGTGGAAAGGACAGCACATGTTGGCTTTAGGGAAAAAGAATCCATATTCTATTAACTTAAGAAATACAGATTTTGGAGGAGCCTAAAATTAGTTTTCTACACAAATCCCCATGTCCAAGTTAGAAAATGAAAGAAAAGCCTTCAACTTTTCATACAGTCAGGTCTGAATCCGACTCCCATGAGAAAAGGAGCCACCATCCAAAAGAAAGCCCATGGCTGCTGGGCGGACCACAGGGAAAGAAGCCAGGTGAAAGACTGGCGGGGAACAGACCATCTTCATCATTTTGGCTTTGATTTAAGAGGATCCTGGTGGCCTAATAATTAGCAGTGAAAAGCATAATCTACTAATCATAAAGTCTCTTAAGTTTGAAATACCTGGGGCAAAAGATTAAAGGAAGTCTTTTCCACATCATTTTTCTGCTGATCCTCAAATCTTTTTACTAAATTTGACACAAACTCCTCTATTTCTTGATGATATTGCCTGCATGAGAGCACAAAATGGTCAGAATTCAGAAAGAGTAAAACAAGGAACTGACTGAAGTCAAGATTATGCCGCGTGTCATTTTTGTTACTTTGTGTTTCAGGTTTATCAAATCATTAACTCTGTAACACTCAGGATCTATAGTTGGTGCCAAGTTCACAAAACAATTAGGATAACCCAACATAGTGCTTGGCTCATCTGCGCTAAGAATAAACGGACTTTTAAATAAGTTTCATGTATTTAACTTCTAAATACATAATACATGCAAGTAGTTCCATATCCAAAAGAAGTGAAAGGGTTACACAATGAAATGCCTCCTTCCCACCCTGTCTGTTAGCCACCGATTTCTGCCACACAAAGGCAACCTATGCATTCGGTTCTTCCGCATCCTCCTCCCAGAGATTCCCTATGCACACATAAGGAAATACAATGCATAAATATTAAACTTGAAAAATAAAACGAAAATGCAATGCCAGCAAAACTACTGAGGTCTACTTCCTCCAGCCTTCCAGCTCAAGAACCACATTCATAAAACTTCTTCAGTCTCATGCGGGAGGTCCCGAAGGAGCCCAGCTTAGGCTGCAGTTGGGCAGCCAACTTCCTCTTCTGATTCAAGGATCTGTTAAGTCTCTTTAGCTCTGACATTCTAAGATTTTTGCAGGTGGGTGGTGCACAAGTTAGACTGCCGCAAGCTAGAGTAGATGCTGATTCTAGTCTGGAGGTGACAATGGTGTTAGAGCCCAATTGTGCCGGGCATCTGGCTGCTGCTACACTCACCATCCAGCTTCCCCTCCCCTCAGACCCTCAGGTTCCTCTTCTACTGAGATAAAGAAGGTAATGGACCTGCCCCATAGGTACCACTCTATGTATGGTTCCCTTTACCTCTTCACTTTACCCAGCACATAAGAGAACGTGATTAAGTGACATGGGATGGGGCAAGCAACTGTCTGAAATGTCTAGAACCAATCTTTGAGGAAGGCCTCAAACCATTTCAGAGCACTAGCAAGCACTGACGCAATGCAGTCATACTAGACTCAAGCATGCTGAAAGACTTTCTGTAAAGGTCTAGTTTTGATATTAAAAAATATATCATGCCTGGTCGGTGTGGTTCAAGAGCTGAGCATCGATCTATGAACCAGCCAATCAGTGATTCTCTCTCATCATTGATGTTTCTTCTCTCTCCTTTCCCTTCTGAAATCAATAAAAATATATTAAATAAATATATATATAATGTGGGGAAGCTTTGAAGATAGCCAACAGGGAAGACTGTTACCTGACGTGGCAAGATAAATGGCTAACATTATTGTTGCGGTGGTAGTGTTTTTTTTAATTAGGCAGTGGTTCTCAACATTCCTAATGCCATGACCCTTTAATACAGTTCCTCATGTTGTGGTGATCCCCAATCATAAGATTATTTTTGTTGCTACTTCATAACTGTAATTTCGCTACTGTTATGAATCATAATGTAAATATCTGATATGCAGGATGTATTTTCATTGTTCGCGACCCACGGGTTGAGAACCGCTGAATTAGAGGCTATTGGATTCTTACAGGCGATCACTTAGAGACCTAGGAGGTGGTCACTATTAATATCATGTTTTCCAGTGAGGAAACTGGTATGCAGAGAGGGTCAGTGATCTGCCCAGGTTCAGATATGCAGAAAGAAAGAAACCAAATTCAAGTTTACATGATTCTAATGTCCTTGCTCTTCATCAGGATTCCATAAATTTTAAGAATAAGGATGGGAGAAGTACAAATGAAAACAGCATTCTTATAGAAGACATTGTTTCATAAGCACATGAATTCATTATATTTAGAAAAGGGAAAATGACTTACTTTGAAATAACATTGTTCATAAATAGAATCTGTAACAAAGGTCCATCTAACTTAGTGTTGTTCACCAATATTCCACTAAAACAGAAGTTAAAACATATTCTTAGAAGAGTTAAAGCAAAACTTGCATACATACATATAAACACATGACCTATATAATTCCCAAGTACCAAAGATAATAGTTTCCGTATAAGACCAGGAACACAGTTTTCTCAGGAAAAATCTGTTTCACCACTTTACCTACTTCAACGGTTTTCCACAGAGGTATCCCTTACATAACATGTCTTTAAAATGTATCACAAAAAATTAAAAACCAGTTAACCTTTCAGTTTTCAACGACAAAGTTTCTTTACCTGATGGCTGTTTCTTTGTAAATTAGGGAGGAGGAGGGAAGGGAAGGAATGAGTAAACCAGCAGATTACAAGAATATATTTCTAAAAGAATCAGAGTGAATTTGCCTTAGAACTACATAGGAAAAATACACACTTTATAAATAAATGGATAGGTTATTTTCGGAGGGCAGAGCACATTGCACTAAATATCTCAAATCCAAGATTGTAAAGTCGAGATAGAAAAAGCATACTGTTCTGGATTTCACTTTCAAATACTGCAAAACAAAGTAAAAAAAAAAGCAACCTGGAAAACTGCAATATATCCTGTCAGGAACCTGGGACCAGTTGAATCTCTGATTCCTTCTCACCTGCCTCATATTTCTATATGAAATACATCGGTCTGTATTTGGAATTGTTCTCATCAAGTAGAGAAATAAATTTAAAATATAAAGTTGTTTCAACTTGAGCAAACTTCAGTTTATAAAAGATACATCCTATGTGTAAAACCCCATGTAACTGCATGGTCTTTGGTTGGAGCCCAGCTTGAACAATCAGCTATAAAGCCGTTCAGTTGAGGAAATGTGAGTAGGTACTGGGCTGGGAATGTTATCAAGGAAATCATGATAATTACGAGGTGTGATAATGGTGGTGTGGTTATGCTCGAAAAAGTATTTTTTTAAAAAAGATACATGCTAAAATATTTGGGGTGAAATGTGCGTATGGGATTAGAGAAAAATATGGCAAAATAGTCACTGGGAATGTAAGTGATCAAAAATGGGTATTGATTCTTCTTTTCATGTTCTTTGAAATGTCTCATAATATAAAGTAAAAACCAAACAAACGCAATGTTAATTGGATAGAGAAACTTCTGATCCAAACCGAGACTTGGGGTACAAATTTCCCCTAAATAATTTTATTTCTTTTTCTTCCTTGGTTTTCTGTAGAATGCTTTATCAGGCACTATGGAGGGCACTAATTCTAAAAATAAATTTCTTTTTCATTATTTTAATGTTTACTTTTTATAAATTGGCATAACCCATGACACCGTAGTCATTTGAACACAGGTGATTATAATCCACTTTAAAATGCTTAATGTTTAAATAATCAACTCTATTGGAAAACGTGCTATCTAAAGTATATTTTAATATATAAAAATTATGATTTTTGAGGAATCGTAGTTATAGTCAATAGTTAATAACTAACCAAAAATTAGTTTAAATCCATAAAATGTGCTCACATAGATGAATAAAGGTAGGGCACAGGGAAGTTATTCTGAAAGGCATCTAAATCCTAAAATTTTAAACTTCTAGTCACCAGGGAAGTCAGTTAGTTACTCCAGCAGGTACCATGCATCCGGCAGCCCAAAATTCCGAAAGCCTGAAAATATTTGTACTTTAACTAATATTTTAGATTAATACTGTAATTTTAATTCTGATTTCCCAGAAACATTTGTTGACTAACCAGCTGGGTTGACAATGTGCCTGTTCTGATCATTAAGTCAAAATGTTCTGGATTGTTCCACAAATATTTTCGCCCAGTAAGTCAGTTCAATGCAATTATGAGAATGTCAAGTGTTACACCCATAAGTTAAAAAAAAAAAAGGATTATTCTGATTTGAGTAGGCTGAACATATAAAAATGATACAAAAATCCTAAACACCCTTTTTATAAAGAAACTATGATTAGATATTAACATCAGGATTAAAAAGAAAAAAGGACTACTATGGTATAATTTCAAGATCTCATACCTTGGTCGAGTCAGAATGTTCAATTTTCTTTTAAGTTCTTGATGTTATTACGTGTTAAGGAGTATAAGCCCTCATTAAACATTCATAAAGGTCATAAAAGTCAACTACCAACTCTCACTTTTGGTGACAGAATGTTACACGGTTAAAAGACACGCAACTACTTTGAAGATGACACGGTTACTGAGCTTTAGAGTAATACTGTAATTAATACTGTAATTTTGTTGCAGGGTTAGGCATTTGGACCTAAAAATTCAAGTACAGTTTTCATTCCGTCCAACACAGACACTGCAAAGGCACCAAGCCCTGAAGCTGAGAGGGGACTAACGGGGCTGGACCAAAAACGTTATTCAAACAGCAGTGTCCCCTCCACAGCTCAACACTCACTCACTCAGGAAAATGTCCCAAGGCCAAAGCATCCTGATATGCGAAACAGTAAATGCGGCACAACAAACTGGTAACGACTTTTGTATTTTGAAATTTTTCATAGTAGCACATTGAAGAAAAAGGCATCATGAAAAAAAAAAAAATCAGACTTCGGAACCTTAACAGATAATTTACACACCGCTTTTAGGGATCTTTAAAATTCCAAAAGGAAAAAACCCCCACCCGAACCAAAATTACATATATATATATCTATATATACCTATCTATATCTATATATCTATATATGTATCCAGTACAGTTCCTTAAAAAAATCCCTAAGACCATAAATAAACACACTAACAAGTCTTGCTAGAAAGGCTGTCATCATGGTAAA